AATGCTTGACTCTGATAACTATAAGTTTGTATATATTCTAACAACCTTTGTATATGATTCTATGCAGAGTGGTTTTGTTTTTGTTACAACATTTGTAAAGTTTCTTAATAAACATATTTGAGGATCTAATGGAGAGGGTAACTAAAGGTTTTGACATAATGTTAGAAAAGTTATGCCAGAATGTACCTTTGTGCAAAACCACGCAATGTGCAGGAATGAACCCTCCTCAAGGCTACATCTAAAGCACAGCCTACATAACTCTGGTTTATATTTATGCAAATTTTTTGCCGAATTGTACGTTTGATGGAGAAAGTCGTAATGGGTCAGTCTGTATCTGCAATTAATGGTTGCACTTAAAAATTTCTGACATAATTGTGACCCTCGTTCTGCATCACTTGTTACATGCAAATCACAGCCCCACATCTCCCTTGACCTGTGACCCCGGTTCTAGAGCAGCACACATTAAGACAGAATACACTTTTGAAAAAAGACCAGGCGAGTTTCCTTCATGGAGCAGTTTTTAACCAAGTGGCTTTAAGAAAAGATCTTAACTGGAGATATAAAACAAAGTTTCTTCAGGACAGATTCTTCTTCCTCATGTCAAGGACATCGGGGATCCATTCTCATAGCAGTCCTCCACATAATGTCATTATGTCATTTGCTAGAAGATTGATTTTTATATACCATCTACCCCACTTTGAACTGTTTATCTCTGAATCCAGTCTTATCATCTTGGCTAGAAGCTCCGGGCTAATACAAAGTTTAGAGGAAATGCTTCAGAAATTCAGTCGTGATGGTCATAGCTTGCGGTTTCTTGCAGTCAGTGCTCTAACTCAATAAAATTACCACCAAATTCAAATTTAGATAAGACTTTGAACAAATAATGTGCCGTAATACAAAACTATTAGATGAGGAAGGACAATTTGTTTAGCAAAATAGCGTAATTTGTTTGCACCTCTTCCTCTGAGGCTGCCATTTTTTTGTTTTTGGTCTGTCTATTCTCATTGTGAACACACCAATGAATGCTAAGATTCCCGATCATGCATCAGTAAGGAACTTAGCTATGTTTCAGATCTGATACACATGTCATAACTCATTATGGTGTAACCTGGTTGGAAATGCTTGGGAAAAGAAAGAATATTTTCTTGCATACAACAGTGCGTGCCACAGCCTGTGGGGCATCTGCTCTGCCAGCCCTTCTGTCTGCTCACCCAAGGTACCCTGGAGCTAGCTAACAATGCTTAGTCCTACAGTGGTGGACAGTATGTCCTTGGTTTTTAACATGGAGAAAAGTGACCTCCTTAGACTGCGTTTAAGTTTTAATGTACTTGTTTTTTACAGAGTTATCAGTTCTGTGACTAGTTAGCTAATGTATAGTAAAGTAGCAGAAAGATGTAGTGCTTTTATTATAATTGAGAGATTTGAATAACATTTGAAGATATTGGTCAAAGATACACAAAGACAGATAAACGTGAAGTCCAACTCCAAAATATGACTTCATGCACTTCAACTGCTATTTCTGAAAATCTACAGTGAAACACTTACGTTCTGATTTGTCGTATTGGTCCATATTTCCCAAAGATATCATACATTTCCTCTGCTGTGATCTTATAAGGAAGATTCCTGACATACAGGATTCTGTTCACCTCAGGAGGTAATCGGATCTGCAGCACAAAAAAACAATAAAACAGTTCGGATAAATAAACACTGTTGAGGTTACGACTACTGACGAGCATTCAGAGAGTATTCAACACAAAGCTACCGCGGAAACGTAGCTTGTAGACATTTAACTCAAACTTTGGCGGAGTTAAGTTAAATCAGTGGTAAACCGTTTTATTTTCAGACAAATTTAATGGCTTCCTCTTTTATTTTACCCACCAGCCCCTTCAACCCTCTCCTGCCCTTACGTATATAACTCAGATATTTAAACTAACGACCAAAGCCCGAACAGCATCAATCATCTCAAACAGAAGACGACTTTAACTGTGTGCTGAAGATAGACATCATAAAAAGCACCAACGAGAAATGTTACGATACAATGTTGTTGTTTTCATTTTGCTAACGTGCTAAGCGGCTAACCGTACGCTAACACAAGCTAAGGCTAGCTTTGAAGCTAACTGAGCTAATGTTTCTGAAGCTCTATTTATCACAAAATTCACAGTCCCACTTTCTCACACTTACATTAGCGCGTTTTGCTGCTTGCATAGCCATTGTGACGGGTTGTTTCGTTCAAATTAAACCTACGAACGATAAACACGCAGTCCCACCAGGCGCTTGGCTCTTCTCGTCAAAATGGCAACGGAAGCTGACTGGTGACGTACTTCCGATTTCCGATTGAACGCAAACACAGAGCTTTCCACCAAACCACTCTGTCTCAGTTTCCTAACATTTAAAGGTGGACAAGTGTTTCTCTCTCACGCTCCCCCAGTCTGTCTACTGGTTTTTGAGACTTAGTCACTGGGACTTCTTGTTTTAGGTTTTTAGGTGCTTCCCTGCTCCACAACACTTGATTCAAATCACTATCTTGTTACCAGGCAGTTGTTGCATTTAATACCAAGCTGACCACTGGAACACAAAGTTGTACTAACTTACAGGTATTGGGAACAATAATGTTTTATAGAGGGAAAGATTGTGATTGAACAGTTCAGCTCATTCCCTCAGGAAGGATCATGAACTTGACTGACAGTAAGAGAGTGGACCCCAGACTTTGATGTGAGAAACAGTTAAGAGGTCATGGGTATCAGTTAAGAGTCATGCATATGGGGCGAGTAATATTGGGTTTGCAAATGATATATGTACGTGTGTGTGTGTGTGTGTGTGTGTGTCAGGAACTTGTAGAAAACTTTGTAAAGGGAGATGTCTCAGTTTCGTTAGGTTCTACACCAATAGTGAAGTCAAGAATAGTCAACAGATAGAACCACATGGGCCTATAACTGTGCTTACAGACTAACTCATTCATGCATGAGCACAGCCGCACACACTTATTTGGTTGTTGGATTAAATGTTCAAATAAAAATTACTTTTGTGTTTGCTAAAAAAAAAAAAGAGCTTTGGGACGAAGCCAGAGTTTTGACACTGTGCTCACAGCTTTGAGCATCCATGCATCCATGTGGCCATTACGCGCTGGTTCTGATGACATCTCGCCCTTCTAAAGACAACACTCCAACTATCACAGCCACAACAGGTGCAAGATATGATTTTTTTTAGATATTAGATTTCGTGCCACAGACTTTCTTGGTCACATTTGCGTGACTTATTTAAATATTCTGCCCCTTGCAGGATGACCACTCAAATCACAAGAAAATGTACCTTTTGAATACAGCACTAAAAAAACAAATACTATGGCTGTGAGCAATAAAGCATAATTATCATATATCCTTATCTTTTATAATTATAATAAAAACTTTGGTTAGGGAGGGGGTGTTCACTCTGATTTCCCAGATATCATAAGCACTTTTACTCTTTTGAGACGACTCTGCTACATGAAAAATGCAACATTAGCATCCTTGCTCTTCTTATTACACGAGACAACTGTGTGGCAGGTTGCAAACACATTAAAGGTCTGTGGTACCTTTATTACTGTTCTTACACTGGTTTTGTAAGATAAGAGAGCAGCTGTGTGATGTTAAATAAAAACACGTGCTCACATTTAATGATGGTGAGTTCTGTAATCATACCAGTGCTTAGCTCTGCAAATGTCTATGTCCGAATATGAGTACTCATACTGCTAGTAGCTTTTGAACTTTATCTGCATAAAGTGGCACGTTTCCTTTTGTCCTGTTTGTGTAGAGGAAGGATTCTGGTGAAATAACTTCTGAGGCAACCTTTCCTCTCTCCTCTACCCACTTCTGCAAAAACATGAGCTCTTAAACCAGAACATAATTAAGCTTTCTTTCTTTTGGCATTTATTTACTTCAAGACAAATATGAGTCACAGCTAATTCACAGAAAATGCATTTCTCACCACTCTATTTTTGTCTTATTTTCTCATTGTGAGTCCTTGAAAATATTTTTTTCTTATGGCAAGTTCCAGCTCATATCAATTCTGAGGAAATAGCAGGATTTTGTTTTTACACATTATAGTTTCTTGAGCATATATATACACACACACACCTCATATATATCTAACCTCACCCAAACTATTTATACTGTCAGAGTGCTTGGTTACAGCATTGGTACAACCTGTTTTATTTTTGCACCTGTTAACAACAACAATTGGCAAGTGAACAATATTAAGTAAGTAAAATTTTATTTGTATAGCACCTTTCAAGATAAAAATCACAAAGTGCTTCACAGAAAAGCTAAAACATAAAAACATAAATCAACCAAAGGCAAGTTTAAAAAGATGAGTTTTTAGCTGTTTTTTAAATATTGTATGGCAAAACAATACAATAGCCTACAAAGAGAACCCTGTGATAAGTTGATGCACTATGAACAAAAACTTGGTGACAGTAGCAAGGAAGAACAGCCTTTACAGGAACGGAACCAAAACCAGTTCAATGGACGGAAACCAGCAGCATAACTAATAAATAGTTTAGGCTCTTTCTCCGATTCTACTTTTGGTAACTTAAAAAAAAAACAAAACAGGTAAACATTAATCTGAGAGTAAAGTGCTCTTCTAAGAGAATATAATAGTTTGAGTTCTTTAAGACATGTTCAAGACAAATATGAGTCACAACTAATTCATAGAAAATTCATTTCTTGGTACGTTTTATAGTTTAGAAAGTATACATTAAAGTTGTATTTTAAATATTGTTATTTTTATTTATAGGAGAAGTGTGACCTCTCTAGTGAGTGTTCCTACTTTAACTGAATGCTTTTCAGATAACTTTTAGAAAAACGTGACAGATGGGTCATTAACAAATTAATTAAAAAAAAAAAATCGAATAAATCTAATTGTGGAATTTTATTTCATTTTATATTGCACCATATACTAATATGAGCACGGGACAAAAAAGGAAAAAGAAAAAAAAAGCGCGAATAACAGTTCCGGGTGGGAGGTAGAGAGGAGGGAAACGACTTTGGGCACGCGCGTGGTTGGGAGTTGGACTTGTTAACGGTAATCGGTCGTCGAGTTGCTGTGGAGTTCGATTATTTTGTTACCACAAAAATCAGTCTTTAAAAGTGTTAGACAAATTACACGAAACGATAAAAACACCGAGCCTGGACTAACATTTAGCTCACTGGGTTAAATCTGCGAAGTTTAGGTGAGGAGAAGTTTAGCGCCGCTGGGGCTACGGGCGGTTTTTTTTTCTTTTTGGCTAGGCTAACGGTGGCAGGTCTTCTGGGAGCTAACGTCGACGGTACTTCCAGAACACTCGGCAGGATTTTCAGGTGTAAAAACGGTAAGTTCTGTACTAAATCCTCCATGGTTCGCTACTGTAATTCTGTGTGCTTTTAAACTGCCCTCGCCTATTAACTTAGTACCTGATATGATGCTAGCTTTTGCGTTATTGAAGTAACGTGTGATAATAGGTAATTAGTTAGCATTAAAATAAGTTCTTAACATGAAAGGTTTGAAATAATGTTGTTTTCTGATACTAGACTGGACTGTCAGAAAAGACAATAACTAAACGATAGGGTTGTGCTAATAGTGCTAATTTTCAAGATGCTGTCAAACATTTCTGTGATAACCTGTGTGCTGTTTTTCGCCTCGTTTAAAATATTTAAAATAATTGAAAAATATATTTAAAATTTGGAAGTTAAATCTTGTCGTGGAAAAAAGAGAAGAAAAAGTTCCTTCTATTTAGACGGTTGAGGCTTTACTTGAC